ATTGTTTTCGGAACAACATAATAGCACATGCAGAACTTATGAGAATGCTGACCTGGGTCTTTGTTCATTTCGCCTATTTTCTACAGATGCTTAATTTTCCTTATGAATGCTGTAACTGAGCAGCTACTACTAGGGCAGCAGAGTGCAGTGCCCAACATCTGTAACATCTGCTTCTTATTCTTTTTTCACATCTTCAAAAGATCTGTACACAGTTTAGCATTTGTTTTAGCAGTCTGGGATTTTCACTTATTCATTTATTCATGAATGCTCCTCCATCCTGCATATTGCTAAGAGAAAAGCAGATCAAAGAAGTGCATTTTGTTCTTGGACCTAAAAGTAGAGTTTTGTGATGGTAATTAACACCTGTGAAAGTGTACTTCTAAATGAAGCTGAATAAGGCTTTAATATTGATAAAGATCTACACGGGTTGTTACTTCTCCCTAAATGACTTTCCATCAGTCTCATCTCATCTTATCTTTGATCAATTAGGTAGCCTGATGGTTTAGATTAAACTTTCCCTCTCCATGCACATGGTGGTCCAAAACTTGATTGGACTCACAAGTTTATGGCAAAGCAAAGAAAAACAGGAAGGAGAGCTACATGCTAGTGAATTAATATCATATGTAGTTTGTTCTTCAGTATCCAAGCCAAAGACACAAGTCAATCTGCTTCTAAAGAAGTGGTGATCAGCTCATGCTGATCTACAGCCCATTACACTACAGCAATTGCTATGGCTGTAAGAAATGATCTTAAAATGCACTGTAGTTTTGCATTTTAACCTAGGATGTTCCCAAGAACATTTGACCTTGTTTCCTCACTAAAGTATGTTCTTCAGAATTCAGACTTGAGGCAGAAGCCCTGCCACTCTGAATTCTCATCTCATTCTTCTGTTTGCCTTGGTGCTCCCACCAGAACCACAATCTCATCCCACTCAGTGCTTGAACTGTCTTTTCTTAGATGGTTGTTGTTATCACATTGCATCTATATCCTGTCTTTCCCCCTCTTATAAGGAGCTCACAGCAGGTTACATATCCTTCAGAAAACCTGAAGGACTGCCCTCTCCCATATGTACCTACCTGATCCATAAGATCAGGTTTGGAGGCCCTTCTGAAGGAGCCATCCCTCCAAGGAGGTAAGGAGGATGGCAAATGGAAGACAGGCCTTCTCAGAGGCTGTGCTCCATCTATGGAACTCCCCAAACTGGCTTCTGGAGGGAGTCTTCTTTCTGGTTACGAAAGGCCACTGTAGAGAACAATGGTTGCTGATCTGTAAATGTTACTTACATTTTGAACATTAAAGATAAAACAAAAGGCAAAGCCGAGTCTGCCTCATGAATCTTCCATGAAAGCTGAGATTCCCTGCTAAAATTAAAGCTATCATCGAAAGAAAACATTTGGTTCCCTAAGGCAATAATGTAATTTGGTACATGTGGACCAGGTAAATAGGAGTACTGGCTACTGTTATAAATGATTTTTTTTAGTGAGGGTTCCCTGCTCCCACCCACAGAAGCTTTTCAGAACAATTTCTGTTTGCTGCCTTCCAAAATAAAATAACCAGAAAATCTTTCAGGAATGAAATATATTGGTGGATGATCACTGTATGTGCACCTAAAATGTTTGTTCTGGGATCACAGAGGCTTCTTATTCCTGATGGGCCCCATCAGCTTCAGATTAACAGATGACAGGGAGAAAGAGAAGTGGGGGATGCAAGAGAGAAAGGCTCACCAGAGTATTGTATGTTGAATATTTAAAGGTACATTTTAAGACAGAAAAATATGAACAAGTCCCAGAATACCCTGGCTAGCCTGGCAGGCTGTAGAATGCTGGGGACCTGTAGGACTTTCTTCTTTCTAAACATGCATAGGATTATGCTCTAAAAGAATTAAATGTATCCTGAAGTGCTGGTTAAACTGAACTGGTCTAGCAATAGGACTCTGCACAGATCCCTGATTGGTTATCTGAACCAAGAGATGAGGGAAAGTAGCCAAGTCAGAGGGTCATCGGACAGTTAATTCACCATTCCTGCATATAGCATAACTCTTCTACTGACAACCATGGACTCAAATGCTACTGGAGATATTTCTGTTCATTCCTGGAACAAGAGAGCTTGTAGCCCTCCATTTCCTGGGTTGTCTTACCTGTTAGAGATATTGTTAGAGAGGTTGCACGTATGTGTACCTCTGTTACACTGTACGGAACCATTCTCCAGGTTCTTCCATCATCTCAGTTGTGCTCAACTAAGTGCTCCAGGTCTTGTAGTTTCTTCTTCATGTTCAGCTAATTGTGATACTGTCAATGGTACATTCATGTCTATTGCTGCATTTGCAACTGGTTCATCTTGCTGTATCCTGAGCAACCTGCAAGGTACCCTATGCCCTTAAGTCTGGATATTGTCTTCTGATTTTCTTTTTACATAGTGGCTCAGCTGTACATTTTTCTGTCACCAATATTTGGTTATGTTTATTGGCTATAGGCCGCTCACTCCCAGTACTGGCAGAGCAGGTGTAGCTACCCAACAGTGATTTAGACACTGACATACTTCATTGTGCCTACAGCTGACTATGCTTAAAATTGCCAGATAACAGGTGGCATTAATTTTATCTCCTGGTAATTCTGCATTCTTTCTCATTTTTGACAATTTTTGGCAGCACAGTTACCCAGATTAGTTTGTGAGAGAGTTTGTTTAACTTTCCGGATCTTTTTATGTGTTGGTTTTATAAATTGTGCTGTCAATATTTTTAGTAAATTCTGAATTACCATATGTTTGCATCAAATGACATTGTTTATTTACGTGTTTATTTAATGGTTTGGCTTTGCTCTATTGCTATGCTCAACTGACTGTGCGCTGAAGCGATTATACAGTTGTACTGACACAAATATTATGTGCATGTTATTTTCAAATGTTTTTCCTCTATTGAGCCATTTTAGGTTCAATTTTGTTGCTGGAAAAGTGGCATAAAATTAAATCAAATCAAAATAACAATAATGTTTTGTTGGTGTATAGCAGAGATGGAGTACCTGTGGATCCCCATAATTTCTGCTTGACTGATGGGAGTATCAGCATGTAGAAAGCTGCATGTCATGAGTGGAGCCAGCTGGAGCTGGGGGTCAGACTAGATGGCCCAGGAGATCCCTCCTCTTTTGCTACGTTTCTATGTCTCCCAACTTTGATTTTGAAGGGCCACTCAAAGTTCTTAATGCAGCTGAGAGAGTTAAAAAGTGGGTTGAAGCATGTTTCACGCAGTTGCTCACAGTCTCAGCAGTGATGGGCTTTCAAATGTGGATTGTTCCCCCTTGAACTATCTCATCTTACAGCTGACTGGCTGTGCAGGTTCTAGCTCTCTTGCAAAGAAATTCCACCTTGTGACCATCCATATACCACTCCCCACCACTAAATTGGAAATGAATCACAGAATGCCCAAGTCAAGGCTATTCTTGCTACATAGTTCATGACTGGGTGGCAGTGGATATTCTCCAAGAAAGGGGCCTGACAGAGCACTGATATCAGTGCTGGTTCTAGCTGTCTTGACCTGGGCAAATAGCAACCCCTCCTTGGAAGCCTGCAGTCCCCAAGATCAGCACCGAAAGCAGAACAGGTAGCAATCTTTGCAGTGTGACTGCTCTTATCAAACCTTTCTTTCCTTGTGCACCTGACGTGACTAGTATATAAATTAATACTTATGCTAATAAAACTGGACCTTTGAGTACATTTCCTGCAAGCTTGCATATACTCTGCCTTTTTATGGCTTTTCCTATTGTCAGATTATCCACTGTAACCAGTTTCCCCTTCATTTTCTTTTTGGATTTGATCCCCTGAGTACTTTCTTTTCTAGCTTGTCAACCCCGCCTATGAAAATGCAGTCTTTAAATATTCAACTGCAGCTGGGTTACCCATTCACTAACTGTTTCTGCTGGGCCTTCGTTTCTCTCATTGAAATTCCCCCTCTGTTGAGATATTTTCCTTGACATGCAACAGGCTTCAAAATGCACAAACACCCAGTCTGGGCCTTTTCTGTTTCCATAAGTTTTCTACTAGAACATGACGCTTCACAGATATTTTTGCCTTGTGGCCAGCATATATTCATATTGAGCAGCTGTTTGGCTTGCAAATCATTTATCTGCTTCTGTTCCTGCAAACAGGCAGTGCTGTTAACTCCTTCCAGTTTTCTACTGATCATCCAGTAGATAGTGGTTCATTGCCACAGTTTGTCACACTCTGATACCACGTGTCTCTGCATAATCCCTGAGATCATCCGAGGGACCACTTCTGAGCATGTGACTTGCCTTAGGAGCACTTTATGAATAGACATTACACAGATCCTCATCGTTTAGACATCTGCTTAAATCCATCTCTTCACACAGGCTTTCTACTCAACTAGTTACGGCTTGTAGCATGAAGCTGAGTGTGCAGGTTTACTTCTGATTAAACTTGTATAATTTTGTATTACATGTATTGCTTTTTTCTGCCTTTGAGTTTTATGTTCACCACTTTGATACTTCAGTGAAAGGCAGTCCATACATCTGAAAAAACAAACAAACAACCTGCCTGTTGAACTTAACAGAATGACAGCTGTATACCAGAATAGGCTAAACCTGTGCGTCAATGGGGCTTTTACTTATTTATTTATTTTATTGATATCCTGACTTTCTTCCTTTAAGGAACTAAATGTAGCTTACATAATCCTCCCCCTCCTCTCAATCATATCCTCACAACAACCCTGAGAGAGTTAGGCTGAGAGTTAACCCTGTGCATGAACCATAACCCTAGTCCAAAGTCAGCCAGGGAGATCCAATCTCTCAGATCCAGTCCAACATGCTAGCTATTATACTCCTCTGGTTCGCTATGCAAGTCCAAGATGCATCACAATGCTCAAGATCAGTTCTAGGTTGTCGTGGGTAAGAGTATCTATGATGCATTCCCTACATGGATGCAACACAACCAGGCCAAATGTATCTGTAATATTGCTATAGCTTTCATAGCACAGGTGCAATGCTTGTTGATGGGTAAGCAGAAGCTCATGTAAAGACTCCCAGGATACAAGTGGAAGTCTCTCAGAAAAAGCAGTTCAGCCAGCCTACTAAGCTGCCTCTCACACCTGTATTCAAAGATAATTATAATGTACTTTACATACCTCGTTGAAGGATTTCTTCACCTCCACTAGTGGATGCCAATGTGCAATCGGTTTGCGTGGGTAAGCCAGCATTTCATTCCAGTGGTCTCGTCCTAGCCCCTCAGCGTTGTTTGCCACACGGCAAACCCCGATAATCTCATTATGCCCAACTCTGAAAGTAAAAACCACATATAGAAAGGGGTTTAGGGACTTTTTTCTTAACCCTGGGCCATTGGCTCATCTTACTCTGTTGCTCATTCCAGCTGTTTTGGTCCTTCTTACTGAAGGTGTATCTGCTTGTTGAGCAGCTCTTCCATTCCTCCTCCTTTCTAGAACTTCTTTGATTTCTCTATCCAGGCTCACGAGGCTTTGCGGCAGGCAGCAGAAGCTGCAACCCAGACTTTGCCAAATGTTCCTAACCAGCTGGATTGGGCTACAACTGCCAGCATAGCCAGCAGTCATGACCATCGCTCATGCTTACTGGGTGTGGTGGGAGCCATTCTCCGACACATTTGGGTGGCACCAGACTGGGGAAACCTGCTGTAAATTCTTCCAGTACCTGAGACTTGTGTGGCAACCATGTTTTATCTGCACTCTTCACATTTCTGCAACATGCACCCTGACAGAGGCTCTATATCTTTAACTTCTACTTCACCAGCATTAAAGGAAGGGAAAGTTTTGCATCACTACTTTCCTATGCTAGGGAAAACCACACAAGTTGATTTTCTGTCTCTTGCTGAGGCCCAAACTACACATTAGGTCACTGTGGTGTGGAGTAGAGACTTGGGAGAGCCAGATTTTGGTCCATGAAGCTCACCGAATGACTTTGGGCCAGTCATTCACTCTCAGCCTAACCTACCTCGCAGGGTAGTTGTTCTAAGCCACCTTGGGTTCCTCCGAAGAGGAAACAAAGTAGGATATAAATGTTATTGTTGCTGCTACTGCTTTTCAAGGAACATGGGACTGCTATTGAGTACCACAGGGCTCCATTCTGTCACCTGTGCTATTTAACATCTACATGAAACTGCTGAGGGAGGTTATCTGGAGGTATTGGCTGACACTCAGCTCTACCTCTCTTTTTCATCAAGCCCAGGTGACACAGTAGCATCTGAATCAGTGTCTGGGCTTGGTAATGGACTAGATGAGGGCCAACAAACTGAGACTCAGTTCAGATTAGATGGTGGTGATGTAGGTGGGCAGATGGTCTGTATAGTTGAGAGATATTCAACCTGCTCCGAATTGGGTTACACTCTCCCTAAGGAATGAGGCTCATAGTTTGGGGGGGTTCCTGCATCCAGAACTGTCACTTGAGTCTCAGGTGGACACAGTGGCATGGAGCACCTTCTATCAGCTTAGGCTTATTTACCAACTACTGGGACAGGCAGAGTCTACCCACAGTAGTCCATGCTCTGGTAACTTCTCGTTTGGATAAGGTTTTTTTTCAGCACCAGATGAAAACCTTTGTATTTTTCTGGTATTTTAGCTGTAAATTAGTTGTAATTTAGAATTTAGCTGTAATTCTCACATAACCCCAGTCCTCTACCAGCTTCACTGGCTCCCCATCGAAGTCCGGGCTCAATTCAAGGTGCTGGTTATCACCTATAAAGCCCTTAACGGCTTGGGACCTGGATACCTAAAGGAACACCTTCTTCTATATTTGCCCTCCCGTCCCCTGAGACTGACAGCAGGGGCCCTCCTCCGGGAACCCTCCGTGAAAGACATTAGGAGGCTAACTACCTGGAGAAGGGCTTTCTCTGCAGTGGCGCCCCACCTATGGAATGTGCTACCCAGAGAGGTCCACCTGGTGCCGTTGTGATTTGTTTTGTTTTTCGGTGCCATGCTAAGACCTTTTTATTTAAACAATATTTTAACAATTTTTAATATTATCTATAGGTTTTTAATTTGCAGCCAGGGTGAATCGGGATTTTATTTGCACTATTTGTACTCTGTTTATTTATTGTATGTAAGCCGTCCCGAGGCTCATGCGAATGGGACGGCATACCAAAAAGTCTAAATAAATAAATAAATAAATAAATAAATTTCTAGTTTTAATTATGTATTATTATCATATATGGCTGCTATGCCTATGTGCCAGTTTGATTAAGGCTGCTATGGATTTGTTGTTATTATGATTGTTTACTGCTTTTGTGTTATTGTTTTACTGTTATGTGTTGTTTGTGTTTTATTTATATGTTTGTGACTGTAAACTGCCCAGAGGTCCTTTGGGCTGTGGGGGTGGCATAAATGAAATAAATAAACAAATTCATAAATACATTCATACATAGACTCATTTTTCCTGTACCCATCTGGGAACAGTTAGTTAAAGGTGCTGATGTCATTATGATCAAGTTTCCCTTATTCCTTCCCTTTGTACAAGTGACAACTATTGTAGCAAAACGAGGGCAAGGAAACTTTGGGCATGATAATACCACATCGCAAATTATCTTTTCTAGAAATTACCTGGCAGATGCATTGTCAAATGGAGCTGTGCATTCTTCTTAATGTGTGGTTTTGGCCTTTGCTGCTAAAGTTGCTGAGGAAATAAACAGAAGTGCAATGCATACCCTACCTATTGCATACTCTAACATTATGCAAATGAAAAATGGTCTTGTTTCTAAAATGTCATCAGGTTCAGCTTTTTAAGTGAACCTACCTGGTCTGTACTTCCTGGGCAGATCAAAATGCAGTTATCCTTCAAAATAAGCACTTCAGTAAATTCTGTGATTCTCTTCTTGGCTGAAACAGCATACTAAACTAAACGTGCATTTTAGGGTAAAATGAATACTTTTGGAGAAAATGCACATTTAACAATATTTAAATGGATATTTTCATGTTTGTTTATTCAGAGGTACATAGATGATGTGGAAATAGAGGGGGGCGGACATGTGGAAATAAACGCATGTGAAACTGACATGACTGTAATTAGAGTGATTCATCCACCCCTAGTCGTAATGTGTACTTTTATGCACACAAGAGCCAAGGTCATTTGCCACCAGCATTCCAAGACTTAATGTCTAGAGCAGATACCCTGTGGAGGGAGTTAAATCCTGGAGGTTGTGTCCAGTGTCAGTCCTACATAGAGTAGATCTATGGAAAAGAATGGGAATTGAAATAAGTTAGACTAATGCTGGATGCAAGCCAAAAGCACGAAAACCTAAGTAACCTGACATGAACTGAATATTAATATGGCATTCCCCAAAGGGGGAAACAGAAAAAACAGAGACTTAGCTCTCTGTGCAGTCAGGATTGGATCTGTCCTGGGTAAGTAGAGAGAGGGTAGGAAGTGTGTTCTCACAGAGACTGGCCAGCACGTGGCTTTCAAAAGGCCTTGTGTACAGTTTGAGGTTCAGGCAGCATGGCATTTTCCATCCTGTCACATGGATTTCACGACTTCAGGGGAATGCATCCATATTCCTCTTGGAAGCAGTGCAGGTTCAGGAAGGTGGTTAACTCACTCAAAGGGAAAATAACTGAGAAGCAAGGAGAATGGCTTAATGTCTCTAGTAACATGATTTGTCTTTCGTGCAAGCCAGTTGTGTAATCAAGTGAGTCTTGCTGTGGAATGTGAAGGGGGGAAATGGTCCAAATACGATTAAGGCATTGCAGAGGCCCCCCACTTACCGGTCATAATCCATAACAGAGATAAGCAGGCTGACTTGGTCCATGTTCTCTGGAGGGATATCAAAGATTATTGCCTCATTATAGGTAGGATTAAGTGTGTTTCTCTTTATGGTGGTTTTCTTCTTTTTCAGCCTCCTCCCATCACAGAGCAGAGACACTTTGACATAAGGATCTGGAAATCAGGAGAAAAAGAAAATGGCATTACTGAGAAAAATGCATTCTTTCCTCCCACTGTTTACTGGGAGTGCTGTTTGGAAAAGCAACTGTAATACTGGATGGGTGTGTGTGTGTGTGGTGGGAGGGCAAGCGTGACCATGGTGGCAGGGTGCCTCCCCAATTTCCATTAATCCATCAGCTTTCTGCATAAAACCTATGCTCAAAGGGGTCCTCTGTGCAATCAATCTAGGACCCTGCAACATGTAGGATTTCTAATTGTGCAGACAGTCTACAAGGATACAGCTGATGTGCATGTAGGCTCTGGGAAAATTAAGTTACAAACACATGGAGGTCGGGGCTTGCCACCACAATCCCTCTCCCTGCTGCACACTGGAAAAGCAACTCTTTGCTCACATAAACACAGGTACAGGTTAGTTAACAATGAAAATAGTGAACTCATTCTCTGAGTGGCGTTTCTCATACAGGCAAAACTTTACCACCAACATACAAGGAGGAGGCTTGGGGGAACCCCAACATTTGCAGAAATAAATATAAAATAGTCATTAGCAATGCAAACACACTAAGAGAGAGGCAGGAGGAAACCCCTTACATGACAAAGACAGAGAGCTTTTGTGTAGAAGGCATTTGTCATACTCTCATAATTCCCTATACATGTGAGTTTATGGAATTTTGAATGATGTTATGCCATTGCAGTTTTGCTTCTGTGACTATCAAGCACCTTTGGCAAGTTGGTTTAGAATGGGGGGAAATGTGACATTTAATTGTGACAGCAAAAGGAACCACTTTTTGACTTACGTATTTGTGTTATTCTGCTGTATCATAATGCCACCTTGAGGTAGTGCTTAGTTTTCAGTTGTAAAATAAACCCAAAAACAGCTACAGCAGATTAACAGCTTTGTGTAGAAAAGCTCTGGATAATCTTGGTGGCCATAGAATGATTATTGGCTGATGAGTGGACAGATGGAAAATTGAGAAGGGGGCATTGGATGGAAGATGACATGGCCGGAAGATGGCAACACTGCAACACTTTGTTGCAAGCTTGACTTGTAACATTCCATCAATGAACGTATTCCCAGATACTCTAGATCAGGGATGGGAAGAAGGTTGCCTTCCAGATGTTTTGGATTTCCAGCTCCCAGAAGGCCCTGCCAGCATGGCCAGTAATTAGGAAAGCTGGGAGATGAAGCACAAAATATCTGGAGGTCTACTTTCTACCAATTTTGCTCTAGATGTTTAGTTTATTGTTAGCTAGAAGGTAGCTACAACTATTGTCTTCAGGCACTCGTAGCAGGAAAGACTAGTCCCTCAAGTGAAAGGACAGGGGTTTGAGACCAATCATGGCTAGAAGCAAAAAAATCCAATGGAGCATTTTTACTGCACTGAGAGAAACAAATGTTCTGGATTAGCTGAAATGCTGTTTTTGTGTGGAAGCCCAGAAACAATCTCTGTGTACATGGCCCTGGCTTGCTTTCTTTGGTGGGAGTAATTTTTAATGATACTTCTTTCCTGCCTTTTGCTCCCTTTTCTAGAACTGTTTCCTCTGCTCATTGTTGACTTTGTTCATCCTCATAGTCCATTCCCTGTTCTTTAAAAGGATACAAATGTCCTTCATCCATAAACATTCCCTTAGCAACCTGATTGTGCATATACCTTGCATACCAATTTTGTTTTGTAAGCTTTTGTAAACCATTTTCAAAAAATGAAGCTTTTAAAACATGGAAATAGATAAATGAGAGAAGGAAAAATAGGGCAGTGATGCCTCAGTAGCTGCCCTAGAGACTGACTTTGGCAAATTACTTCTGAGTTTCCAACACCGCATAAGTGCTCTGTAGGCTGCTGGAGAAAAACACGGTGTATTTAGACGATGCAGGAACTATATAGTGTACCACTGCAAAGCCACTGAGCTATTTTCCTTCTGAGCCATTAATTCTCGGTGATTCAAACTGTATCAAATGCCAGCTGAGCAGAAATGTTTGACTGCCCAAACATCTTTACAGTTATTACTGCTGTAGATGTAAAAGTTTGTGGGCAAACTGCAGAGACCGGCAAGTCTAGCCCAGGAAATGTAGTTGAGACATGACAGACTTGCCAGTAATTGCATAAGAGTTCTCCAAATTATGTGTGCTTGTTTCCCAACTTTACCATGCTCCCCATAATTCACTGGGCAGAGGAGTAGCTTTCAGAGGAGTAGATGTGTTACTCTCCTGCATCAAAATGAACCAGGACGTCTTGCTCATTTTGAGCAAGATGAGAATAAAAGGGATGCCTAGACAACTCAGGGAGGACCTTTTTGCACTGGATTGCATCCTATGGAGCGATCCTTTAACTTCCAGGACCACAAAAAAATATGAGCTCCCATTTCTGGGCAAGAAAAGCAAGGGAATCTTTTTCTGGGTGGCAGAAAACTGTACTCCATTGCTTCTTTGATTATAGGGCTCCAACAATGAAAGAGGTCAACAAAGGATATCTGAGGGGTTAATGTTCTCTTTTCTTCAACACACCCACAAGGGGATAAAGGATGCCAGCCCTGGAACTCAGGAGGTTGGAGGAAAAGGTTGGCCACAACTAAGAAGAGGGATGTTTAAAGGTGTTTTTGTCCCTGTTTCGTGTGAGTCCAGCAGACCTTTGGATCTGGTAGCTCTTCCACCAGCGATTGCTGCTTTTGTGTCATATATTCTTGTCAGGGGGTATATGTTAGGTAAGAATAAATTCTTCTTTCCAGATTTAGGTTATATGGCACTTCCTATTTTCCAGGTATCATTCTCTCAGACAAGGCTTGGTTTTTGTCTTTTTATGGTGAAAATGTCAGCACAATACTTATGCTTGCATATCTGCAAACATTCAACATTATCTTGAGGCAAGGCTTCAAACTGAACTAAACCCTAGTTTCAGGTTTCCCAAGCTTCTCTACAAGCAACAGGCTGTGGGAGTAGCTGATCTAAAAGTTCTGAATCTCCTTATCTACTCTATAGAGGTTATCAAACCTGTGTAAATGATTTTGGCTTCATTTATTCATACCCCATTAAGGCACATAATTCAGGAAACATTTCTAACTCACCTATGTCTAAACACTGGTGCTGAAATGTAAGCCTCTTAGGATGCAGTGCTACTGAGACGGGCATAAGCTCTGAACTCAGAGGCCCAGGCTCATCCGAGACAGGGTGGGAGGGCAGGTGATCTTTGCTTCCCACTACTGTTCTGTTCACTAGACAGCTCTTTTCTAGTGACAGCATTTAATGGAGAGGAAAAGAGGGTTCAATGGCCTCAGAGTCTCTAGTCTGCTCTGTTGCTCACCATGCCCCTCCCTCACCCCTCTCCAAAGTTGTTCTCCTTGTCTTCAACAGCAGCCTGTGTGGTTCTTTCCATTCCAATTTTTAGGGGTAGGGGATGAGGCTCAAAGCTCCAGTTTCTAGCTCTACAATTTTGGACCTTGGATCTGGGAATCCAAACTTTCCCAAGGCCCTTGGATAATATAGGCAATGGCTACATTTTCCTTTGTTAGACTGTTGCTTATAACAACACACAAACAAACAAAAGCAACCTAGAAACTTATGACATAGTACAAGCATATATGTGACTCAAGAATTATTCTCTAACTCTATCCTGGTTTTGCAATTGTGTATTCTCAAAGCAAAGCTCCTGTATTTACAACCAGCAAACTTCCTCTTTGTTACCTTATCTGATTCCATTCTTCTTTATATCATCCTCCAATTTGCTTTATTAAGCTATTTACAATTCTTGTTATTAAAAAATGATATGAACGTTCACAGATTGCCTCTCTGTTAATGACACCTTGGTTTCCCAAACCAATCTGGTGCCTAGTATCTGGACTTTTTATTATCAGCAAAGAATGCTGATGAGTCAATAATCAATTACCAGTTGCCTGATATTTTGGTCTCCTATATGGAAAGGCTCAAAGATAAGACAAACTTAATTAGACCTGTGCTAGGAGATAGAGTTCCACTACATTGTCCTTTGCAATTCCGTATTACATGCCGAAGTTTTTTGCAGGCATTTAATAATTGAATTTCCTAATTGGATAGTATGGGCAAAGTGGTGCATATGCAGAAGATTTGCCTGATTTGCCACACTCCCCGTTGCTCTGTAACACGCAGATTAAGCCCTTGAATGCTTATAAAACAGAATGATGTGGCCAGTAAATACAAAAGAGCCAGTTTCAGTTTCAGGTTAGCTGAAACTGAATCTGATCTGAGATCAGATCAATTCAACCTTACAGGTTAGCTTCACAGCGCACTGGAAAACTGATACAGGTGGCATGTTTATATGAATTGCACATTGCTTTGCAAAATTGCTGTGTATGAAGATCCATAGAATTCTCCAGGGTGAACTCCAGCCAAATTAGGCACCTGTAAATGTTGCTATTCTTATTATTTCTTTAACTTATTTAGTGCCATCAAGGTTCCTATAAGGGTGGACAGATCTGATTTAGTTTTCCTGAGATGGTTGGTTTTTTGAGGTCAAGCTCATTCAGTTCCATTCTCCATAAGAGTTTGTAATTTACTATTTTTTAAAATTGTGTTGAAATTCATACATATTTTGCATACACATATATTAAACACACATTTATGCTCATTTTTAAATGTACACATTTAAATGCACACAATGTATATCTGTAGATATATAGACCCATTGACTAAGGCATGTGTGTGTGAATTTTGAGCATGCATGCATTTGAAGGGGCAGTACCAAGAGCTGTGTTGATTGACCTTCCTGTCTACCTGTGAACCTTTCTCTCTTTCAGCAAAAAGAAAGATCCACTAAATTCTAGGATGATTCAGAAAACACAGGGTTGCAGCTTAGGACACCGTAATGCAATAAGAAACATGCAATAGTTCATTGTAGTCTCTTTCGACATGATTTTTCAGGGACTAGTTGTGGGATGAATTCCATAAAACAATGCATGTGGAAATGGTTACACATCAATTGAAACATTTCCCAGGAATGATTTACAACAGGGGTGGGCCACATATAGCTCCTGGGCCCTTGCTGCTCCCCAGCACAGCCCTGTTTCTGCCTATCATGCTGCCACATTCAGAAGCAGCAAAAAGACCATCCCCATATAATGACTATGGTGCTACTCACTGCTACAAAAGTCAACTTATTTGACTCTTTTCGTCCTATGGTTCTCTAAAAGCACTAAAATGTAGCTTGCAAATGAATCATTTTTATCCTTGCTGAGCTCTCTAGCATTATCACCACCATCACATCACATTATTTCTCACCTTTCTTCCTCTTGCAAGGAAACCGAGAGAGCTTGCAAGGCTCCTCTCCATTTCATTTTATCCTCACAACAACTCTGTGAGGTAGCTTAGTCTGACAGTCACTGACTGGCCTAAGTTACCCAGTGATCAGTGAGGTTGAGTAGGACCTACAACCCAGGTCTCCAAGTTGCAGTCCAACAATCTAGCCTCTATACCAAAAGGGCATGTGGAGTGGCTTGCCACTGAATTTTGGTGGAACATTGCCTTTTTTCCTTGGGGCATCCCACAGACTGTGGCAACACCTTGCAGTTTGCAGCCTATGGAAGTAGATTTGACAGAAGGGGCCCTTCCTGCAGTTGTCCACCTCTGGTGTATAAGCATGTGGTAGCCTGAGCTTGGTCTCTTACTCCCAAATTCATCCTTTTAAAAATGCATGTGGATTTTCAGTTCTGATATAAATATTTGCCAAAATGAGAACATCATTATATTTTGGAAACAGTTCAAAGGCAGCTTCTAATTACATTACACCCTGGTTAAATTTATGCAGATCACTTTAAAAAATGAATTTGGTTTCTTGGCTTCTAACAAAGCTCTAGTGACACAGTTTCAGCTTTCATGCCAACCGTGCTTTCGAACATTTTGTCTGACCTCCAACCAAAATGTAATGAATGGTCTGTTAGTTTATGAATGCCACTATTTTCTGTGTGGGTGTGCGATAAATATTTCTCACAGACAGCTCTGTTTGAAGCAGTGGCTTCCATATAACCAAGAATGTGTAGGAAAGCTTCTTGACTGATTGGAGCAAGTGATGCTGTCACAGAAGGAAAACCAAGGAAATAGAGAGCTGCTGCCTTGTGTCAAGGATGAAAGCACCTACCTGAGTAGCCAGTTATATCCATTGCTTTGAGATTCCTGCATTTTATGACTGTTAAAGTGAGGCGACCTGCAGTTGGCAGATAACAAAGGGAAAACATGATCTCCCCCAGGTCCACACTTTCCTTTAATAAAAGAGAGAACATGGAGCATTAGAAACGGGTAAGAAGAGAACTTCACAGACTGTCACTTCCCTGCTTTGCATTCTATTGATATTCTCTACGTGTTTCTCCTCCTTTGCCAGGACAAGGCAAGAAAGGGCAACATTTGCTCAACACTTAACACAGTTCTGAAAGCGTTTCATGTGCTGTGGACCCTTGTATACCCCCAGGCATAACTGCCAAAAAAAAAAAAAAGGTATGAAATTCAATGAGAAATAAGTGGATGCCAGGTAATTGCTGGTGGTACACACATGCTGGACTATAGGTCAACATAGCATGCCCTCGGTGATTAGCTCCTAAAGAGCCGATAAAGCACATCCTCCCGTATAGACGACCCTGGGGGCTGGGATTAGCCAGGGAGACCCAATAGCTTAACAATTTGTGGGAGATCAGATCATGAACAGCACCTTTTCTGGGGTGGCCCCAAGGCTGTGTAATTCCTTCCCCTCTGTTGTTCATCTGCCTTTGTCATATGTACAGTGGTACCTTGGCTCACAAACTTAATCTGTTCCAGGACTCTGGTCGTGACCCAAATTGGTCATGAGCCAAGCTAAATTTCCCCGTAAGTTGGCAATATCTCTTTTAAGACACCACTAACTATTTGCAGAAGTTTTTATACTACACAAAAGGATGTGGGGGATCTACCAAACATTGTGCACTCTGCAGATACAGCAGAATGGGGGACTGGTGCAAATACTGCATGATTTCTCCATTCCATTTTGGGCAATTTCTCCACCTACTGCAACTTTAGAAGATATGGTCAAAAAATGCTAGGAGCCTCTGAACCCCTGAAGATTTCTGGGTGGGAGATGCAAGAGGGAGGTACCTACCAAAAATCCTCTTCTGAGGGTCAGGACCACATGCAATTAGCTCTCTTAAATTCTCTTGAGTAAACATATATACAGTTTGGTTTCAGACCAGCTTTTACTTATTTCAAAATGAAAACTGACACTTGCATGATACTCACACAGGACTGTGACTACACAGAAAGAAATGGTATCAAGAGCTCCAGTAAGATGGTGAGCTACCACAGAGATACTGAACTTATTTAAGCCCAAGCGCTGAATTTTGGAGACGCTCTTGGGGGGCTGCATTCCAGCAGACCAAAGGCAAAAGTGACATGGCCAAAAAAAGGCCAATATATTTTATCTGAAAGCTTGTATTGCCCCAAAGCCAGCCTTTGAAAGGTATTTCAGAATAAGGGCCAAAGCACACGAAAGTCAGGAACCTACCAAATGATTGCCACTTGGGAGAAAGAGGCTGAGGCTGGGGCTCGGGGAAGGGAGTATATTCATTTGTGGAAAACTGGTGGGCCAGAGTAAGGCCCAGGGAGGCTGGATTTGACCTGCTTACCTGAGTTTCAACATTTCTTGAGTGACATAGTTGCCCTGAATGATATTGTTCATGATTGGGAGGGTGGTGGGTGGGAACCAAATGAACTAGTACTTGCACAAAATGCAGATTTGGGAAAACATATAATCCCACTTTTGCCTGCACCTGAGGAAGGGGCACAATGCAATGCACAATTAAAGTGCGCAGCATAGATGTATTTCCCATCCAGCAATGGACAATTTTGCTTCCCAAATAACCTCTTTGATCCTCTGCTTGCTCACCTATCTATTAACCTGTCAAGCCTCTATTGGGTAGGAATCTGATGTAACAATGGCATTTGCAGGTGTTCTGTCCTCTTCATTGCACCCCTTCATCTTCTAGCAATGGCACATGGGAGAATTGTCTGCCACATGTGATACGTAGCTTGAAATAACCAAGAATCATTTGGATCCTTGCAATGTGTCAGCATGTGCCAGCTTTGAAGTGTGGTTGATTCTTAACCTTTGCTTTCTGGTGAAACTTTTCAGATAACTGACAAGGTCAGAACTGCAAAGAGGTGTAATGATCCAACTTAACATGCTCTCCAGGAAGTGATAGGCATGGTGTGAGGGCTGGGCTTTCCTGTGATTTCCTGCAAAACTCACTTGGGCTACATCTTAAAAATAAAGGGTGAAAATGGACAATCATTTAACTTAACTAAGTTTCTACATGGCAGTGTTGTATTTTGACTAGGTGAAAGACACAGAGCATCCCTTGTGAATACCATAGAAGAGATCTGGGCAAAATTACATTTTTTTTTTTAAAAAAAAAGCTTCCCTTATCCTAAAAGTATTTCCTGAATAGAAACCCATCTTGTTCTCTTCACAAATATAATGGGATAAGCCATCAACTGCCCTTACATTAACCATTTAAACTGAACTGAAACACACAAGCAGGATGTAGAAATGATTGACCATTCTGTGGTTCTTGTAGAGCACCATTTCAATAAGGTTTTCTGGGTACCTCTAGGTGGTGCCATATAACTTTTCCCAAATATGCTGTATCTCTTCCTCAAACTCAAAAGTGAGACTGGAACCCCCTTGATTGCCACCTGATGAAATGCTAAGCCAACAAACATATTAGCATTACCACTGCTGTTCCTTATGGTGATTGCTTCACATACAGGATTTATCATAAGCCTCTTATTTTGACCAGCCAAAGAAATCCAGCTGTGATTAGATATATTATACTCCTCATGTTGGGGTATGCATTAGGCTATCTGTCCAATAAAAGGATCTTTTGAATTTGTATGGTAGTGTTCAGACCTCGATCTCACAAAGTTCATAACTGCTGAGCCTTATTTCTCAGTTTAATAAAGGGATATGAGCCTGAAGGTGTTTTCATCACATGTATGGCTCCAAATGGCCTTTGGCTTAAGTGGATTTCATAAGCAAATGTACAACCCATACTGATGGCTAATCTACTTTTTAAAAATTTTCTACACAATGCTTCCAACAGTGCTTGGTTTTCACATGAGAAGCGCTATATCTCGGATCTGCCTGATCTCTCTCCAACCTTCAAGTGCTTCCTCTTCATCCCAGGCATAGGGAGGTCCACGTAGGAACATTTAGTGATAAGGAAAAGATAGGCAGGATATGCTCACTGGCACTGCACTTTACTATCAGCTCATAGTCTTTCACGACAGGTTTGAGCCTGGTTGAAATGAATCTTAGCTTGTTCCAAAAGTTACTGCAGCTAACAGGAACATCTCTAATTGCACTAGTTCTCCTAAGATATAAGGAGATACAGGAACCATTCACCTGTGGTTGGTGACCTACTGAGGACCTATTCATCTTTGACAAGATCCCCCAGGAGTTGCACCTCTTCACCACTGCAACCTGCTTATTCATCGCCCTCTTGCCCTGGCCAGACAAGAGTGGCAGCAAGAAGGAAGAACGGCTGCAGAGAGCCACTTCCAACTTGCTTCTTGGAGCAACAGCAGCTTCTAAACCACTGAAGGAGGGGCCACGTTGAGGAGGTCTTTTGGAAAGGCCCTTAAAAACCTGGACCCGGGACTGTTTCAGTTCTTACTGCTAACACTTCAGTTTTCAGCATGCATTCGCACGCGCGCGCGTGTGTGTGTGTGTGTGAGAGAGAGAGAGAGAGAGAGAGAGAGAGAGAGAGAGAGAGAGAGAGAGAGAGAGAGAGAACGAGTGCACACAAAATTGTAGTCACATCACAGTCTGACATGTACTGAGAAAAAGAGATAGAAAGTGATGTTTTGCCCCAGACAGCCTGCATTGCAATTGAAATAGGAAAGAAAACAGAGATTGGCATGCCATGTGTCACACCTTGAACCCTGATCTCTCAATATTCAAAACCAAATATTATTTTCAATTCAGTGGTCCCAAAATATTGTCATAACAATTTGTGCTAAGCTGCCAGTTTAAAAGGCAAACAAAAAGAGGTCACTCCTTTGGAGGGTAGCCTGTATGACTGTGGGCTCTGGTGCCCACCCATGCGTGAGCAGACAGAGAGACAGGTAGAAGAAGACAGGGGGGAGGAGAAGAAGGGGAACAGAGCTATCTAACTGGAGAAAGATAGAAGAAAGGTGTAGCTCTGCACCTTGGGACCTCACAACTATCACCAGCCTGAGTTCATTGAGAGACAATGGCCCATTTTGCATGATTATGGAAGGGAAAATCAACCAAGGTGGCTTATTTCACGCTTGCTAGTTGTGCATCTGGGGGATTTGCATACTTATGCTCACTGGAACAACTTGTCATGCCACGCAAGTGCAATGAGTGTCCCTTGCTGCCAGCCTCTGGGTCTGGGTGGCCCTGATCAGTGGGTGTTTTCACACAAGGCTGGCCTGCTCTTGCTTCAGCAATTTGCTGTGCAGTTACTGCACCGCCACCTTAAAAAGTTACATTACCTAAAATGCTCTTCTGCATTACAAATGTCTCTCTTGCACATAAAGAACGAAAAGATATTGACAGCTTGGCAGATGAGAGACTCAAAGGTGATGTAAGTGACCCACATGAGACAGAACACACAGTTCTGAGCAGAGCGGATCTGCAGTGTTTGATGTAAATGTTCATGTCTTTCTCCAGTTAGGACATTGCCAGTCTGGGCCACCTGCTGCAATATTCAAGGCAAATCATTATGCCAGTGATGGCAACTTCTGCCCCCTGTCAAGACAAGGAACTTATTAGCACATACGCAGAAGGGTGCACTTGAAGAGATTGCATGCAACAGCCAGGCAGCTCTGAGTGCGCTGTTGGACAGCCATTCGCCACACATTTCTGAAAAGCCTGATGAGAAATGCTGGAGCTTAATTAGGAAGAACATTTTACAGGTTCTGTCTAAGAGACAGCATTCCAGAAATGCATCCCATAGACCAATGGTGATTGCTGCCAGAGCAGTTCATTCTAATCAGTGCTGCCATCAGACTGTATTATTAATGCCTAGTCATTTCCAGATAACCTTTGGAAGCTCTGCCAACTTGGCATAATCAGAATTTGACCAGCTTTTCCCCAGCTTCCTTCTCTATTTATTGCATTCTCCACTTTCCCCAGAACTAAGGACAGGAGATGCTCAGTTAATTTCACAATATTCCAGGGTTAGGGAAGCTCTTTCAGCCTGGTGGCTGA